GTGGGAGAGGGAGAAGCAGGCTTCCCGCTGAGCAGGGAGCCCGATGTGGGGCTCGATCCCAGGACCCCGGGATCATCACCTGAGCCAAAAGCAGACGCTTAATGACTGAGCCACCCAGGCGCCCCCCCGGAAGTGTATTCTTAATTATTAACCTATTCTGTCTTCTGGAACTAGTGATGCCCTGAACCCCCAACACTCAGCCAGAAGGCAAAAGTCACCATCCCAGTGTTTTTCAGAGATGTTCTATGGAAACTGCCCCCGAGAAACTTAATAGGTATGCCACTACATAAGTTTTCTCTACATGGATAAATCTGGACCATGCTGAGTTAGACACCTAACAAACACAAACCTAGCCTAAGGATTTTCGCAAAAACAAAGCACTCTCTTTCCTTTTCTACCTACCCAAATTCTACTAATCCTTCAAGACCATCTCCTCTATAACCCATCCTTGACTACTCTAGTTCTTTTGACCCTACTTTATAGTCTCATATAAAAAATGTGGCAAGTATGTATGATTTACATAATCAGTGCAAAGCATAAAACAAGTAACAAAAAAACATGGTGAACTGAACTTCACAGGGGCATAGCTCTGGTGCTCATTTATTTATCACGCATCGTTTACTTAGAGAGAAACAGACACAGAGGTATACACTTGGAAAGTTAATTATGAAAGACCTAAATATCAGGTTAAGGACCACTACATTAAATGGGAACTATAGGATACTGAAAGGACTTTGAGCTAAAAAGAGAGCAGATGTGAGTTATGCATCTGAGTAACTAAGCAGTCAGTGTGGAGGGTGGAAAATTAGTTAAAAATTTAACTGTAACAGGAAATGAATAAATCAACATGGTGTAGTCATTCATGGGAAGTTATAAAGCAATTAAGGATAATAGTCTTGAAGAGTATTTAATGGCATGGTAAGTTAAAAAAAAAAAAAAAAAAGGCAAGCAATAGAACTTGGATATTCACAGAAAAAAGACTGAAAGAAAAGACACCAAAATGTTAACAATGGTTTTTCTTTGGATGGCATAAGATTATGGATAACATTTTATTCTCTTTTTTAAACAGTCACAATGAAACTTACTTGAATAGTCAGAAAATAAAAACAAGTATTTATTTTTTAAGTCCTCTGCTCTAAAGGGGACCAGGAAGCCTACTTTGTGAGGCCTCCAAAGCAGCAATGACCACTGGACTTACCTTTGGGACCCACTTCCCTCCTAGGAAGTTACCACAGGTAGGGCACTTAGGTGGTTTGTGCCTGGTGACGTATGTAAAGGAGCAACCTGGGCTGGTGCAGGTCCCATGGCCCCGGCGGGTATACGTAGTGGTCTGTAAGGAAAAGAGCAGGTCAGAATCAACACCACAGTGTAACCCCTCTCGGAGCCTGATGACCATTATAACCACAACAATGCCAGGAAGATGTCAGCTTGTAGAAGAATAGCCAATTCATGGTATCTAAAAAGGTCAGAATTGGAAAGGTCCTAAGATACAATTAATTCACTATTTAGAAATGGAGAAACTGGGTTCAAATGAGGAAAAACAGCTGCCCAAGGTTACACAGATAAGTATCAGAAGAATAAAGGTAGGAATAATTACTACTAATTAAGCCAAATACCACATAGTGCTAAAATGTTTTACCAATATCTCATTTAACACTCTCAGCAATGCTATGAAGTAGGTATTATTAACTACTGAGGTTCAAAGTGGTTAAATGCTTTGCCTCAAATTGTATAGTGAATCAAGGGCACACCTAGACCTAGAACCCTGAAGTCTTTGATTCTTGGTCCAAGATTGCTTCCATGCACTTAGCTGCACCCACAGTCCTAAATACTTCAAAGAATTTGCTTCATTTTCATTCTTGTTAAAAATAAAAAATTAAAAAAAAAAAAAAGATAGTAGGAAGGGAAAAATGAAGGGGGGGAAATCGGAGGGAGAGACGGACCCCGAGAGACTATGGACTCTGAGAAACAAACTGCAGGTTCTAGAGGGGAGGGGGGTGGGGGGATGGGTTAGCCTGGTGATGGGTATTAAAGAGGGCACATATTGAATGGAACACTGGGTGTTATACGCAACCAATGAATCATGAATACTACATCAAAAACATAATAAAAAAAATCAGAGAACCAAGGACTAAGGGTTCAGAGATATAAAAATAGACAATGGCCACTTAAAAAAAAAAAGGAGGGAATTCCAATAGAAATCAAGTTCTTTTACACTCAACAGAATTTATTTGCATATGAATATATTCAGCTACTGGCTCTCACCATCTCCAATGACTTCCCTTTGAACAGAATGATTACAAGGGGTTATTACATTTCAACTGCAAATAGAAATTAGCCATGCCCCATTTCTTGATTAATGCTGAAAAGAAAACATTTCCCTGTCAGATTTGTTCTGTCACTTATGGGTGTTTACTCAGATATTAATCCCACCTTCCTGAGACTGGCCGAAAAGCAAAAAGCTCAAGCTGCCACTAGGTTACCACTACCAGAACGCCTAGGGAAAAGGTGATTGTAATAGTGGTAGCAAGTCAGGGATGAGGGTGAGTGGTGTGGCACCCGGGAAAGAGACCGACCCGGCTTTGAGTTCCATACTCTACCACTAACACAGTGGATGACCTGGAAGTAAAGTCATTTTAGCTCTTAGGCCCTGGGTTTCCTCCTCTGTAAAATCACCTGCCCTTCCTATATCCTAAAGAGCAAATGAGGTAAGAAATAAGGAAATACGTTGCTTAGTAACTTGTAAAAGATTCTACAGGTTTGTGAGAAATTATTATTACTGGGCTATAAAACATCTCTCATCTTTGCTCAGACTGTAGCTCCACATGGAATATTCATTCTGAACACCACCAGAAAGCAGAATAAAAATTTAAGTCAGGTCAGTTCTATAAATAAATTACCATGAACTTGGAAAGACTCCTAAATAGCAGCTTATAGAAATAATTTTAGGAAAAAAATGCTAGTGTTCGAGGCTGATGTTTCATTCTTAAGTATTATTTATAAAGGCTTTCTGGAAGAGTCTGGCTGACACTTATTAAATCATAAAAGAGTAATTTCCAGGAGAGCAAAGGCTCAGGAGAAACCTGTAATTTCTCCATGAATTGGGATGCAATGGCTGTTCCTTCTGAAGATATGATAAATTTCTCATCTAAAAATAGACTGTTTATCCATAGGTTTTAGAAGATAGACTGTGGTAAGTTAAAGACGTACACTATTAATCCTCAAGAAACCACCAAATAGCTAAAACACAGTTAATAGCTAATAAGCCAATAAGAGAGATAAAATGAATTCATAAGA